GCGGAGCGGCTGGGGGGGGGTCTGAGGGGGCGACCGTCCGCCTTCGGCCGTGCCGTGCCCTAGAGGGCGGGGAGAGGGGGGACGCGCCGCCCGGGAGGCCCCTGAGGTGCTGTGGGCTCCGGTGTGGGGTTGGGGAGCGATGCCCGTGAGGCTGAGGGGAAGCGGCCTGTCGGGGGCATGGCGGTGACCTGCCGGGGACGGGAGGCTCCGTCCTGTCAGCGGCGGCTGGGGATTGTGTGGGGTTGGAAGGGACCTTTCAGATCATGGAGTTCCAACCATCAAGCCAAACGCTGACAAACCCACCGCTAAACCGTGTCCCTCAGCACCGCCTCTACCCGTCTTTTAAATATCTCCAGGGTTGGTGATTCAGCCACTGCCCTGGGCAGCCTGTTCCGATGCTTGACAGCCCCTTTCAGTGTAAATTTTTTTTTTTCCAAATATCCGATCTAAACCTCCCCTGGCACAGGGTCCCTTCCAACCTAGATGATTTTATGGTTCTGTGGTTCTAATTTGAGGCCGTTTCCTCTTGCCCTTGGCTGGGGGCGAGGGGGAGACAGGAGGAGGCAGGGAAAGGGCGCTGGGCTGGGGGGACAAGGGTGGAATGGGAGAGGCAGGAGGAGTGAAAAGGACAACTTCAGGGATGGCAGAGACCCTGCTCTCGTCAGGAACTGGTGTCGCCTACCCCTGCTTCATTTTTCCAGCTTTTTTTAAAAAGTGCTTACGTTTTTCTCAAAGTTGAACCCTTCTGGTGTCTGGCCTTCCTTTACATTGTGCCATTATCTAAGGCAGTGGGTAGTGTATAAAGTGATCTACAGCGTCACAGGAGATAAGGATAAAGGAGGAAGGTCTGGATATAAGGCATGGTTTAGGGTGGCTTGTCCCTACTACAGATACTTTTTAAGAAACGGCAGTTTTTAAATCCCCATCCCTCCAGAAAGGACCTGCCCTTGACAGTGTTGCTTTGCTGGAGAACTAGTGAACCACTCTTAATTTCTCCTGCATTCGTTTTCAGGGGCCAAGTCAGGAATATGGCAACCCTAAAAGACAGTAAGTACTGGTCTCCTTTGCTTTTGAGAGAGGACAATCGTTGCAGGAAAACCAGGTGTTATATACTTTAGGTTAGCCCGTGTTGGATAAATCCATACACCATAATGTTGATCCATGGGCTTCCAGCACTTCTTATCCTAAACAAGAGTCCTTCAGAAAAGGTGTTGCTCAAAATGGTCTCAGCCCTAATTTAGATGTTATTTCAGCAAGCCAATATAGTTTTGCTCAAACATCTTTTAAAAATAATTTTACCAAGTGTGCTAAACCATATTTTTGCTTACCTTTAAGATTAATTTATCTCCTTTTATCTATATTTCCCTGTGTATTTATTCAGTATTGAGCAGGGAAAAGGTTGACAGAATGGTTTCACTTTGGTAATGCTTCTTTAAATCATTCCTCATAAGTTCTTACACAGGGATATTGCTTTGGAATTGTGCTTGTCTATAGGACACATGTTTTGTTTTGTTTTCTTTTTAGGTCAGTATTTTTATGAATCTCCTTTTGCCGTGGTCTAAATAGAGGAGGAAGTATATTTTGTGTCTTCATACTGTGAAGTCTTTTTTGTTTCCTCTCCTTGTCATCTGGGAAAAGATGACAATATACCTTAAATTATATATTTGTGAAACAGATAGAAGTGGAAGGAAAGAGAACAATGAATAGATCTTCTGTTGGGCTAAATAATAAATATATGTTGTGTCTGGAGGAAAAAACATACCTATTGTAAAGATGCATTTGGGTTAGCCAGGTTACTGCTTTTAATACTTTCTTACTACAAACACTAAGGTGTTCTATGAGGTTTAATTGTTTATTTATTTATTGCTCTTTGAGGAACTTGGCAAGATACTTTTGGATGGCTGTTACTAGCATTTTATTGCTTGGTTTTGATCATTACGCCCAGTACAGCCCATGACCTTCAACTGTTAACCTTGCAGTTACCAGGCGCTTGAAGTCCATCAAGAACATTCAGAAGATTACAAAGTCCATGAAGATGGTTTCTGCAGCAAAATACGCAAGAGCTGAGAGGGAGCTGAAGCCTGCTAGAGTCTATGGAACAGGAGCACTGGGTGAGAGAAGACTCAATGCACTGTGGGATGGGGGAACAGAAGAGAAAGGCTTTCATGGTGGTGATAAAACACGTAGACTTTTTTAGCCTTTCAGTATTTTTTTTTTTCCAAAAGAATTTGCATCTCTAGGCCACCTTGAATATTCCTTACAAATAGTTTATGGAAAGTGATTTTTAAGAGTTCTAATGTGGCGTTCATTATGATTTCTGACTACTTTGTTAACTTTGTGCAGTTGCATGGTTGGTTTTGATAGTCATAAAAGCACCACAGCTCAGAATTTCTGGCCTGCTTTGGCCTGTTAATGGAATTGTGTCGTATCTCTGTAGCATCTACAGCTACTGCCAGACCTTCTGGCTAAGATTCATCTGGGTGAGATTTGGAACCTCTTTAGATTAGTTAGAATAAGTCAAAGGTATTTTGATATGACTTGTTTGCTTCCTGGCACCCATGAATAACTTACCCACTTTTTTTCCTAGCTCTTTATGAGAAAGCAGAAATAAAGGCACCTGAGGACAAGAAGAAGCACCTCCTTATTGGTGTGTCCTCTGATCGAGGTCTGTGTGGTGCTATCCACACGTCTATTGCTAAAACCTTGAAGAATGAGATTACCAACCTCACAAACGCGGGGAAAGAAGTGATGGTGGTTGGAGTAGGTGACAAGATCAGAGGCCTGCTTCAGAGGTAAAAAGGATGGGTCCCAAAACTCCAACTCCCAAAGGGATTGGTTTGGTGGTTTTGTTTGTTTTCTGCGGTAGAAATGTCAAGGCTGCTCAGAAAGCTGTGTGGCATTCGCAGGAAATTGCATTTAATGGAACTGTGCTAAATTCAAGTTCCTTAAAAAAAAAATAATTTGCAAATATGCTAAAAGGGGTTTTGGTCATCTGGAGTTTTGTGAAACTCCTGCACAGTGCTATTATATTTTTGAAATAAAAGTCTGAAAGCTGGCAACTCTTGTGCTGTTGCAAGTGTGTGGCTATCATGAATCATAATTTAACTGGAAAACAAAAAAGGCAAAATTTCTCTCAGACTTTAATTCAATAAAATGCTTGGTTCTGAACACTAATAAGTTACACTCATAAGCAGGTCTGCCCCACAAGGGCATCTGCTTGTTCTAACACAGATTTGATGTCCCTGCAGGACACATGGCAATTACTTCCTGCTGACATTCAAAGAGGTGGGACGGAGACCTCCGAGCTTTGGAGATGCTTCCATCATTGCCTTAGAGCTGTTAAACTCTGGGTATGAGTTTGATGAAGGCTCTGTCATCTACAATCGGTTCAGGTAAGATTAAACTGAAACTGCACTGGAAAAATAGTGGGTGGAAGGCTCCAAACAGCACGTTGGCTTCATGAAGTAATGTGAAAACTGACTGCAAATTGTCATGTTTATTTCTTGAGGAGTGAGTGAATTTTGTGTGTGAAGAACTGTAGTTTTGGGGTTTTTTTAATAGCTGTGGTTGGAATTCTCTTATGACTTGTACAGTTGGTGCTGTTTTAGTTACAGTCAGCACATTATTATGTCCACGTGGTATCACAGAACCATAGAATTGTCTAGGTTGGAAGGAACCTTTAAGATCATCTAGTCCAACCATCAACTTAAGTCTGATAAAAACCCATCGCTAAACCATGTCACTAAGCTCTGTGTCAACCTACCTTTTAAATACCCCCAGGGATTGTCCCTCAGCCACTTCCCTGGGCAGCCCATTTCAAGGCTTAATAACCCTTTCAGTGTAAAAATTTTTCCTAATGTCCGATCTGAACCTCCCCTGGTGCAGCTTGAGGCCATTTCCTCTTGTCCTATCTCCTGTGACTTGGGAGAAGAGACCAGCCCTCCACCCCCTCCTTTTAGGGAGCTGTGGAGAGCAAGAAGGTCTCCCCTCAGCCTCCTTTTCTCCAGGCTGAACACCCCCAGCTCCCTCAGCCACTCCTCATAAAACTCATTCTCCAGACCCCTCACCAGCTTCATTGCCCCATCTGAGATCTCTTCATCAGGAAGGAGAGATTGCAAAAACTTGTGGGATTGGAAAGCCTGGAGTTTTCTATTCTAGTTTGATTTTAAGCATTCAATTTAATCTCTTCAGTTCAACTAACCCTATTATGCTGGTTTTACACAGGTCTGTCATCTCCTACAAGACCGATGAAAAACCGATCTTCTCTTTTGAAACAGTTGCTGGTTCCGGTAAGTAGTGAACTAGAAACCACCAGTTATATGAAGGGATAAATCACAGAAAAAAAGTACTCTGAAGACAAGAATATGGTATTAAAACATCTTATTATGCTGTTATGTGTCAGAAGTTTACCAGGTTGTTTTATTTTGGCAGTCCAAGGCTTACCTACCAATGTGCTGTGGGGCAGGGAGGTTAAAAAGAAAGCTTGTACTGATTTTAAGGTCTGGGGTGACCTCATAACGGCCTTCCAGTACTTGAAGGGGGCCTACAGGAGAGAGGAGGGGGGACTCTTTATCAGAGAGTGAAGTGATAGGGCGAGGGGTAATGGTTTTAAACTGAAAGAGGGGAGATTTAGATTAGATATTAGGAAGAAATTCTTAACTGTGAGGGTGGTGAGACACTGGCACAGGTCGCCCAGAGAAGCTGTGGCTGCCCCATCCCT